GTCTGCTCCTCTTGCCTCCAGAGTGGGCATTAGGCAGCACCTGGTCCCCTGCTGGAGACTTGAGCCCAGGTAACCATCTCTCTCCAAGATGGTTTGTGGGTCTGCGTGAGGCCCAGAAGCCCCGACGTATGTGACAACTGTCGCTTCGTGGCCGGGTGACCTTGGGCACAGCGGCTTGTGCGGCAGCTTCCCCATCTGTAAAATGGGGATATTAAGGGGGAGGAAACACTTAGAAGGTGGACGAGAGGACTGTGTGTTGCTACCACGCCTGACACTTCATCAACTTAAGTAAATGGCAAGGGTGATTGTCATCATTTCTATTCCAGCAGAGGGACCTTAGGTGCCCTCTGATGGGCGGAGTATCGGGAGATGAGAGATGAGCTGCCTTCGGCCACAGGTCGTTGCCACGGGGACTGTGCGCTCTGTGCTTTGTGCACAGGACATAGGCTGAAAGCTTTCCCCAAGTTCAAGGCCCGAGACACGAAGTGAGGGGTCTGGGTGGACATGGCCAAGAAGTGGGTCTCATTCAGCACCGAGTCTGCCTCTAAAGGAGGGCTGGAGACCTGAAGGGTACAACCCTGCACTTGGCCTTGGGGAGACTCCTGGGGTGGGGCTCAGGCCGGGGCACTGAGCACTCAGGTTTTCCCTGGGAAGCCAGCAAACTGAGCAGATAGTGAAAGGTCCCTGTGCTTCCCAGGGACCTTTCCTGTGCACAAGACTGATGTCTGGGACAGCTGGGCTGTGACTTCTGCACATGTCCTGTGTGTGTGTGTGTGTGTGTGTGTGTGTGTTGGCTTTGAACTGATGAAGGGACAGGAAAGAAGGCCTGGATGGCCCCCGGCCTACCATCTTACACGTTGGCGTGCTCTCTCCCTTCTTCTGATACGACGTGCACCTCCTCATCTCTCAATGTCCGTGAAAAGAATCCTCATCCATCAAAGTCCATCTCAAATGTCACTTTCTATCTCAGATCATGTTCCTCTACTAGAATGTTCTCTGCATCCATTTCGTGCCTCCCTATGGCGAGTTGGGTGCCATCCTGTGGTTCTTTATAGACAGGTGTTTTGCCCTCTATTCGACTGTAAACTCCTTAAAAATAAGGGGTGGGGGGCTTCCTAACATCTCTCTTCATGTCCGACATAACCTCTCACACATGGGTGGGGCTCAGTGGTGGATTCTGAGTCACCCTTGAGAGGGGAGGTCCCAGCTGGCCGTCAGTTGCTATTTCTGGCTTTGGTTCTGACCTGGAGGTCACAGGATCCAGAAGGCTGAGGAGCAGGAGTTGGAGAAGTTGGTGTGGGTCTGGGAAGGTCGCCAGGCGGTGGGGAGCAGCAGAGCCTGAGTGGAGCCTCCTTCGGGAACCTCGGGCAATTTTAACAGGAGGACTGCTTTAGGAGCACCGGCTCTGAGCTGTGAGCTGTGGGTGACCGGCGGTTCACAGCGATCATCCACAGAAGGACCCCCAAAATGGCAGGCGTTTACGCCTGTGTTATGGACAAAGTCAAGGCCCAGTTGCTTATAGCGTGCGTTGGGTCACAGTGGTGCGGCTGGGGGTCCCACCCAGGTCTTTCTGGTGCACCCACTACCTGTCACACCATCTCTCCAAAGACGTGCAGCTTCTCTGTATCTTTGTTTCTCCCTTAACCAAGAAGGTGTCGAACAGCCGGCCTCCAGCGGCCCTTACAACGCGGGTGTTCTCGAACGTTTACTCCGGGGACCGAGGAGGAGGACGAGGATGCAGATGAGGAGCCAGGCCTGGTCAGGGTTGGCAGGGTCAGGCCTCTAGCTGCTTCCAGGGCTCTAAGCAAAAGCAGAAATCAACTGTCCACCGAGATGGCCTTTCCTCCTGTTGCTCCTCTCTTGGCATCAGTGGTGTCTGACGATAAGGCAGGGAAGCCTCTCCTAGCTGGCAGCCTGGAGGGCCAGCGTTGCACTTGCCAGGCCCGGCCCCCCATCCCTCCACTCCCCCTCTCTCCTCCCTGCCCCTGCTCTCCCCATGGATGGCCTTTCCTGGCCCTTCTCTCCCTGTCCCTGTTCATCCTGGTCCGGCTCAGGTGACAGATCACTGTGGGGCTTGGCTTGACATCGAAGGAAAGGGGTGCCGTCAGGGGAGGGCCTGCGGTTTCTTTTCTTAATGAGCCCTTCATCCCCACCTCCCTCTCCCTGCTGCTAATTTGCCACAGTCTAGACTGGCGATGGTGTCTTCATGCTCCCTCTGGGGAGAACAAAACACAGAACACAGCAGCCTCACTGTCTTGGGAAGGACAAGGTTTGGGTTTTTCCCCTTGCCTTTGAAACCTGTTTGGAATCTTCGTAGCCCGTCCTGGAGAGGAAACCTCTCATCTGGGCTTTCCCTCCCCTAAAAGGTGAACAATGGAGGGGATGGCCCAGCACGCCTCACTCTTGGGGGATGCTATAGGGAGTGTCCAGCTGGTCATGTAAAGCCCAGGAAAAGCACAGTAGGGCTGCAAGAGGGAGTGAGCATCTGGAGCTTCCTTCTTGGCAGGCTGCGCTTTTGCACCCCATTCACCGGGCCCCAGTCTGCTGATCGAGCCCCCACGCACACCCTCAATAAGTCAGCCCAGGGCTTGTGCTTCCCAGGGACCAGCCCTGCCACACCAAGCCCTGCTTCTCTTCTGCTCCTTTGGCCTGGGGCACCCAGGAACCCCTCTCTTCTGTTGCTGGTTCTATCTCCCCAGCAGCCCCCCACCTTTCTGCTTCTGGTCTTTGTTGGGCAGATCCCCTCCAGGGCCCCCCAGTTCAGGTTTTGTACACAGGAAGCACCCAGTCTGCAGGCCAGCTGGTGCATTCACAAGGAGCCACTGGTGTCCTCAGCTCCCACCTGGGGCCTCCCCCATGGCGCTTCTCAGTGGGATGGCAGGGTGGCAGGGACGGGGCTCCTGGGTGGGAGGTGGGCGTGACCACAAACCCCGTCCTCGCCCATTTTGATGATGTCTTAGGTCACTGGTTCTCAGTGCTGTCAGTGCGTTCTTCGAGTCTGCAGATCTGAAGCCCAACACCATAGCGATGAACTGGAGTTTTGTGGGTAGGCCCGGGCATCGGGGCCAGGGCCAAGAGCTCTGGGTTTAACTCAGTCCTGAGCTGATGCAAGTGATGAAGTGGGACAGGGAGAGTGAGTAGAGGGGACTCCCGTTGGGTCACCCCTGTCTGGTTGATGTCTAACAGAAGCGGGGCATACAGCAGAGCAGGGGAACATGGTGGGAGAGCACGTGTGTGTGCAGACGAAGAGCCTGGTGAAGATGGGAAAGGCAGAGAATCCGTGGTCCAGCCCTTGTTGGGGGGTGAACACTTAGGAGAGATTTGGTGATCACCCAGCGAGGTGGCGCCCTGCTGAGGACGGCCTGGCAGGATCCAGAGGGTGCGGCACCTGGTTGGGCTGGAAGCACCATGCCAGAGCCAGGGCAGGGCAGGGGTAATGTGGCTTGCCAGGGATAGAAGAATGGGGCTTCTGTGCTGCTTATCGGGATGGTGGCTCCTGGACAGGATGTGGAGGAGGCTTCCATGGTCCGCCTGGCGGATGGCTACAGTCCACGCTGCGTCATGGTGAGGACTTTGGACGGGGAGCCCCACCTCTGACTTGCTGGTGACAATCCCGGGACGGGCTGGCAGCTCCGGGGTCAGGCTGGGTGTAAGCTGTTCACCTCCCTGTGAACATGGCAGGACAGGTGATGGCATAGGCCGGAGCTCGCCACAAAATGCTGCGTCTGTGGTCAAAAAAGGGAGTACAAGAACTGGTCGGACCCTCTGATGTTCCCCATTGAAAGAAACCTTGAATTCAGGGCTTTGCAAAAGGTCACAAAAAGCTGGTTGTATTCACTTATCCATTTGGGGGGTGAGGAGGGGAGACTAGAAATGTGTGGGGAAGAAAGGATCACCACTTCGAGGGCCTGTTTGAGAAGGCAGGTCAGGGGCCAGTGACATATTGTCAAGATGCTTTTGGCAAGTGGACCCTTAAAGCTCATTTCTTAAAAAGAAATATATTTCAGATGCCCCTTGCTTCTAAAATAGGAGCTCAGGGTCAGTGTGGGCTATGACAATGATAGCAGAAGACTAGAGACCTGGGGTATTTCTGCCCAGGGCTGGTGGGAGAAGATAGGGTCCTGTAACTCAAGCAGGGCTCCACTGTACGATCCAAAGCTGGGTTGAGATTCCTAGACTTGGGACCCAAGAGGTGAGAAGTGAAACTCTTGACCCTGATCCCAAACCCAGTCCCCAAAGCCAGCCCTTGTCACCCTCTGCAGACACCAGTTTGTCCTCGAGCCCGACCAGTTCCCAGAGCACAGCCCCTCTGTGTCCCACGGGAGCAGAGGAGAGAGGATCACGGTGGACACCACTGGGGGCCCAAAGAAGTATGGTGCCAGTGCCAGGCCCGCAGAGTCGGCGGGGAAGCCAAGCCCAGGAGACCTGTGCCCCTGTTGGATTCTGCTCACTATGTCCCTGTCCCGTTGCTGAGGTTGCTTCTCAATAAAATACCATGAGTCCATCTCCGTGCCATAAGGGAATAAAAACCACAATGTACTGAGCACCTCGCAGGTGCTGGGAACTTCAGAGGCGTGAGGTCATTGGGCCACACGGCCGTCGGTGGTCCTCCGCGGGAGCTGTAATCATCCCCATGCAAGCCCGTCTATGTTACTCTAAGGATCTGAGATGTACAAAGTTAAGTGGTTTGCACAAAGCTATGCAGCTAAGTAGTAGAACACGGGTCATCCTCATGCCCAACCAGCACGTCCTCTGCTTACTGTGGCACCGTAAAGATCGAGTGTCCCTGGGGACCAAGGACAGCATAAGGGGTGGACAGTCTGTGCCAGCTGCTTCTCCTTGTGTCCCGCACCCACCTACACACATGCACTAACCTTTGTCCTTCCTCCACATGACACAGGTCTCACCTGGATCTCCAACGCCAGAGGACGGCGTTGGGTCTAGGCCACGGGGTCCTATGTGTGTGGGTGCTGCCTTCATGTGCCTTCTTGCTCTTTCAGGAATTTAGCCATTGGAATTGGGATCCAGAATTTCCCGGAGGGCCTGGCTGTCAGCCTCCCCTTGCGAGGGGCTGGCTTCTCCCCCTGGAGAGCCTTCTGGTAAGTGCTCCAGCGTGTCAGCTGTCAGAGGCCGGGGTCGTGTGTGATGTGAAGCTCAGAGCAGTCCTTCATATGGGCTTCTTTCTTCGAGAACCTCCTCTTCTGACCTGGAAGTGACCCTGGAGGTTCTGGTAAAATGCTGACAGTCTGAATCCCATGGCCCCAAAGGTGGAAGGAAGCCCAAGATACTCATCTCTTGACCTTCAGCCTTTACACAAACCAGCCCACATGGTCATGTTCCCTATTTCAGAACACCTCCAGGTGCTACCCCACAATGCCCAGTCAGTGTTAGGTTCTCTCCCCATCAAGTAGGAGGTAGACCAGTGTCTACTCTAAACGTCACAAGCCTTTATTTAGGCCCATCTGACCACAGCGAGTCATTACATTGGCCCCTGTCATGGATTCTATCAATAAGGTCTAGGGGAGGACGCTTGTTGCACTCAGACTTCGTGTTTTCATGGTCCCCAAAGGCCTTTCTCTTCTGGTCTATTCCTTAATGTTACTTTTCTGGTGACATGTAAGGGGAGTCCTCAGCTTTGAGAGGGGAGAACCGTGGCCCAGAGGGTCAGACAACGAGTTCTCGGTGGTGACTCCGAGACTGGAAGTCTAATCTGCCCCTCAACCCAGGACTCCAAACCCCAGAATACCTCTTTGTGAAGACAATCCCTGCTCTAGAATGCACGGTGAGGGCATTTTAAAAGACTGCTAATAATAACAATTTAAAAATACCTTCCATTTTATGGGGCCTTATGACTTACAAGTTCTTACACATACTTAAATTATTTTATTTTACCCTCTCTTGTCTCTTTCTCCATTGTTGCAGTCTACAGAACAGAAGACAGGGTGAGGGCAGGGCAGGGTGGCCTTAGAAATTTGGTTCAAATGTGAGTCCTGGGAGCCCAAAAGTTGTGACTGTTGTTTCATACAGGAGGGGCACCACGGGACGGGAGGCGGGGAAATGAGGGGCCTCGTCATCACCGTCTGGACCCCAAGATTAAACTTCTTCTCTCTCAGTCCAGTCTGGGCTTGACATTGCACTCACTTTTTTTCCAAAGTGACAAAGCCAAGGCCAGGAATTGTACACACACTGCAGAGCTGCAAGAACTGCCAACCCACGCTCATGGTATATAAGTCCAGAAGCTGTGTCCCCTTAGAGGGTCCTGCGGTATAGACAGTGTCTCCCCCATGCCAACTGTCTGCTCCTGGCCACGGAGAAGCAGGGGGCAGTGGGAGGTCATAGCCCTGTCCTGACACTGGGGAGACCAGCTGGGCAGGGAAGTGCCCAGTACACTTCTGGGTTTCTCAACCCCCAATTTACAGATGGAGAGATTTAGGCTTCCAGGTAGTATATCTTGCCAAATGCCCACGCAAGGGATATTGGGAAAGATGTCCCAACTCCCTTGTCTGTTGGTTTTCAACCCAACAGCTAGCTGCGCTCAACCATGGAGAGAAGGTCCCAGCTTATCTCCTACTCTCTGGATTCTCAGGGCTCACGGGGGCTGCTGTTTCAATCAGGGCCCAAGTGATTACAAGCAACAGAGACCCATTCTCACTAGCTCAAATGAAGGGATTCTTTTTGTTAAAGAAGAAATCTCATCTTAATCCAAGACGGCAGGTAGTGAGGACCAGCCCTCAGTATACACCTGGCCAGGTAGGTCCACCTCTTCGGCAGAGGCACGTGGGTGCAGCTCCTGCAGAAGGGGCGCAGAGGTGGCCCCAACCCCCAAACCTACCACAGGCAACCATCCTTGGGAAATGTCCATATGACTCCTAATCGGCGTCGTGTCGGTCAAGAGACGATGTCAACATCAGCTGGCGAGTGGATAGAGAGCATGTGGTGTATCTGTACGGCGGGATATACTCACAAAAGGACCAGGGAACACCGATATGTGTTAAAACACAGATGCATGTTGAGACCATTACATGAGATGAAATAAGCCAGTGTTGCACGAGTCCCTTTATGTGAAATATCCAGAATAAACAAGTCCATAGAGACGCAAAGCATTATCAGTGGTTGCTGGGAGCTGGGGGAGGGAGGGATGGGGAGTGGCTGCTAATGGGTATGGGGTTTCCTTTTGTGGTGATGAGAATGTTCTGGAACTAGGTAGTGGCGACGGTTGCACAACCCCGTGACTATACTAAAACCACTGAACTGTACACATTAAACGGGCGTGCCCTATGGTATGTGAATTGTATCTCAATAATGCTGTTACGGAAAACAGACAATGCAGAAAACTTAAAACTCTACAGGAAACCCAGGAGGGGGCACCTACGGTGTCGGAGGAGGTCGGGGGACAGAGGAGGTGGCTGAAAACACGGTGAGGAGCTCTTGCACTGCCACGTGCACCCAGGCTGTGGCACGAAAAGCATCTGTTTTCTGGGGCTGAGTCAGCAGTCTGGGCACGCTGGCTACTGAGCGTCTGCTCGGCCTTCCCCATGGTGACACCTGTCTGTGATCTCTCCTTAGGTACGGGCAGCTGAGCGGCATGGTGGAGCCGCTGGCCGGGGTCTTTGGCGCCTTCGCCGTGGTGCTGGCCGAGCCCCTCCTGCCCTACGCTTTGGCCTTTGCTGCGGGCGCCATGGTCTATGTGGTCACGGATGACATCATCCCCGAGGCTCAGATCAGGTTGGAGAGCGAACCCTCCCTCATCCGCCCCGGGTCCCCAGCCTCCAAGATCCTCCCACCCATCCATATTCTCACTGTGTAGCTATGGGCCGAGCGTCGGGGTGGTAAGGGCTTCCTTTCTTCCTTCCATTTGGTTTTTATAGCAGAATGATGTTGAGGCTACTTTAAAGGTCAGACTCAGTAATATCAGCGAGAATTTAATCACCACACTGGATTCAAGTATACATTCCAGAGCCATGAGAGGTACCTTTGGGCAAGTTACATCTGTATGCCTCAGTTTCCCCACCAGTAACAAGGGAACACTGACAGTACCGGTCTCATGTGATTATCCTTTGGGATTACGTGAGCTAGTTCGCCTGGCATATAGTAATCCCTGATAGATGCTGCTTATCAATATTATTGTCCTTATTAATTTTCTGTTGGAATTGGACATCGCAGAGGATTCTTTCAGCTTGGATGATGTCCCAGAGCACGTTAAGATCTCATTTCCCTTCCTTCCTAGTGGTAATGGGAAACTGGCCTCCTGGGCCTCCATCCTGGGATTCGTGGTGATGATGTCCCTCGACGTTGGCCTGGGCTAGTGCTGAGATGCTTCGGACCCCAGGACAAGCGACACCAGGAAACTGCAACGGTTGGCTTCTACGGGACCACAGGCCTCTTCCTTTACGTTAAAACCCTCTTCCTTTCTCTCCTATTCATCTCATTATCCTGATTGACTCTGATTATAGTAGGACAATTTTTACCTTTCTTTGGAGGGAGATATTGGTTTCATTTAGAATGTTGAGGTGTCACGGAACTACAGATTTTTGTTTGGCCACAGAATAGAATCTGTCTTTAGCAGGATTACCAAGGACACACCAATCAGGGAAATATCTGCTTTCACAGTCTCAAGTCTCCCTTGGTGGGCTCAGTGGCAGCTTCTCAAGGTCACCTACAGGAGCAAGCTACCAAGAGAGAAGCCTCCTAAGCATTTTTGCCTCGTGACTCAGAGCAGAATGGCCAGGACACCTCTCTTCTGTACCTCTTGATCTTTCACCATTGATCGTCTACCCATGAGACCAGAACTGGAACATCGTGGACATAGCAACCCACTCTCCAAGGTCCAGCCAGCCAAAGGAGGAATATGCCTTCCTCTGCGTCCCCCAAGGGAGATGCTGTATGGGAGGGGAACACAAAGGGAAGGGAGGCGGGTAGTCTTTCTCTTTCTTTCTTATTTTTTCTTAAGGCAAAAATCGACACTATTGATGTTAAGGGAATTAGGGTATTCAGACGACTATGAACACAGAGCGAGAGTGCAGCTTCGATTAGAGACCTCTGCTCTCTATGGATTCCAAGAGCAAAGTGGTTTGTCATGGTTTCCAAATCCCCTAGACATTTATTTCCATAAGTCTATAGCCTTCAGTTTTCTAAGAGACTTGGGGACACCAGCAGACAGCTGGAACTCAAGCCCTCGTGTAGTTACGAAGGGAGCCACTTAAGCTAACTTGAGTCAGAGAAAGACATTTGGAATCTGCAATAGGTCCTTCCCTATTGACTATGTGACCTGTAACCTGACCTTGAATGTTTAAGCTGCTGCAGGCTTTCCTGGAGTTTGGCCTGACAGTTTAGGATGGAGAAGGGAGAAGGGGTAGGAAGAAAAAGAGAGGTTTTGTTTGTTTGTTTTGGGTTTTTTTTTTTTTTTAACATTCCCCTTGTAGGGTAAATCTTAGCCAAGTTATCATCCTGAAGTGACTCTAAAGGATGACTTAAGTAGTCTACAAGCCAATCTGCTCCTTCCTACACGTAGTTTCTCCAACAGGGGTGATATAATCTGTCTGCTTCAAACATAGGTAAGGCCTGCCCTCCTCATTGGTCAAAGGAGCATATGGGACCTTGAGTGGGCTCCGCCAGCAAGGCAGGCAGCCCAAGAGCCAGCTTTCAGGTGTTGGGTTATCAATGCCTGCCCTCTGAGTTTACATGTTGAATTGCTTCCAAGGGTGAATAAATACCCTGCTCTGTGAATGCTCTAAGACCCCCACAGCCAACCTTAGGCTGGGTCTGTGTATGTTCTTCTGAAGCACTGATGAACAAAATTGAAGATACATTCAGAGGTTTTGATTGGTTGAAATTAACTGGTTTGGTGGTTGGTTTACGTTTATTTTTATGTCTTTGTATGTAGTTCTACATAATGCAAACTTTCTGATGGACAAGACCTCATAACTGTGATTAATATCAATAAAGGGGATATTGTTGTGGATGAGCCGTGTTCAGTCCTCCTCCGAGCTGTTTCTTTCCAGGGTTGATAATATAAGAGCTAATTAAAGTTCATCGTAACATCTCCCCTACCTACTGTGAGTAGAAGCAAAGGAAAGAGCCCAGATGGGATAGGCTACTTAGATTCATGATTCCAAACAACAAACCCAACTCTAGCTAACTTGGACAGGAGTTTAACAGAAGCCTATTGGGACCTCACAAGATCTGTAGGAGAAACAATCTTGAAAATGGGTTGGATACAAGAAAGCTAGAGGCCTAGGACCATGACCAATCACATCTCAAAAACAGCTTGGTTTGGGTGCCACGGTCCCCTGATGTTGGTCCCTGCATAACCACTCCTCGGACTGCTTGCTGCTCCTTGGTTCTACCACCACCACCATGGGGATGGTCTGTAAACTGACCCTGATTCTTTGTTTCCTGGTCCCACATGCAAAGTTCTGGGCAGTAACATCTAAGCTGGCAGAGCTTATGTCCTGTGTCTATGAACTCGCTGCTCATGCCTCCCCCATAAGACTCATAAAATAATGGATTTTCAAATTTTGGAATGAGTTCAGATAGCGGAGACCCAAAAGAAGAAAAAAAATAATGTTTATTATAGTCTCGCTCTTTTGCTGTTCCACATCCACATCCACTCTGATTTCTCTGTTCACTCTTAAACAAAACGTTCTGCTTAGGTAATGGAGCTCTCTCTCATGCAATTGAAACTTCATACTTCCCCTTTCCAAAGGGAGCTACCCTAATGGCTGGCTGCCCCCAATAGTGGAGCAGTCCTTTCTTGGATTCAACACCTCTAAACCGGTGGGGTCTACAGGTGAGGAGAGCGAGTCGTTTGATTAAATGGAACAGGCATCATCCCCACTCCCCCGTCTTCCAGACCTGCTTAGTCTGGCTATGGGAGAAGCTGCCCCACATATTATTGATGGTTGGTTCTGAACACTTGTCTAAAAGGACAATGTCCTTTAAGCTTCATTAGATACTGTCTCAGAGCCAGTCTTGAAACCCATCTTCAATAATCCAAGTCACAGTTCAAAACAAATTACTGCACCTGAGTGATAGGCTCAAATCACAGGGGTATCCACCCATCGCCGTCCCTCTTTTACTGTGAAGCGAATTCCTTGGTCAGAAGCAGTGTCACATAGAATGCCACAATGATAGGCTACACAGGGAAGCAATTCCAAATCCAGATACGTGAGCTTGTTCCGGCGGGGCAAAATCTCTGCCTTTTCCACAATGGAAGAGGTCCAAAGTAATCTTCAACTAAGTAATATGCGGGTGTCCCTGGAGTATCCCCAGGACCCAGGGGGCAGGGCCCAGTCCCATATAAACCATTTCTAATTGGTAATGGCGTTTTATGAGCGTGTTAGATAACCTACATATAATGGACAGCTTGCGTCACACATGACACTCAGTACTTTAGGGATAATCACCTGGAGTCCTATGCTTCTCATGGTAGCATAGTAAACCCAGAATCTCTGTAACAATTATATGTCAATAAATTCAGGCTAATTCAGAATTATATTCTTCCCTCCATTGTTGAGCACCCTAAAAATCTATTCCCACACATATATCTCCCCCCCCCCAGTTTGTCAGTAAAATTAGAAAAAAATCCTAAAATTATGTTGGTTTCAAATCCTTATTCTCCTCGACTTGAGTTTGCCTTTGCCCTTCCTTTGGGGACATACTGGGCTATAACTCTGATCATTTCTGGAGACCATACAGACTAGTGCATGAGGAGAATTGGGTTTCTCTTGGAGGGTGACTGTTTCATGCACAGCAATGACAGTGTCTTCAAGAAGTGTTTCAGAAGACTGGAGGAAGGGGGTTGTTTCAGCTGACAAAGGAGGCTCTTTGAGGATTTAGAATTCAGAAAATCCCAAGGTTTTCAAATCCTCCCATATATCTCTGTTTTGCTTTTCTGAGTCCTACTGCTTCTTGACCATTGCTTTCTTCAGAACACCTCTAATTTTACTAGCACAGACATTCAGCCAATCATCGGGGTCAAATTTTGCATTTGTTTTTCTACTTTTCTCAGCCTTATGGACCCAAGAAGTAGGAGGATAAGATATCTCTAGGTTTCAGTCTTTTCCTTGAGCTAATATTTCAGGACTGGTTACAGGTGTGTTTTCTCTAAGCTGCTAGCACTGCTTGACCAGACTGCCCCTCAGTCCTATATCCTTGACTGATGGCTGTTTCCCTCAAGGCTTTGCTTTTGATGGGCCCTTCTTTCCAGGTGACTGTAATTGAGAGATGGGGTTAGGGCTTACCTTCTGGATCTCTCTGGTGACCTATCAAAGACATTCTCAGCCTGCTGTTCTGAGGGAAGGACCAAAATCCCATTAGGTGAAGACTGTGGGCCAGACAGGGTGCTATGCATCCTCATTACCTCCTTTTAAAAAAAGATTTTATTTATTTATTCATGAGAGAGGCAGAGACGTAGACAAAGGGAAAGCAGGTTCCCTGCAGGGAGCCCGTGGTGAGACTCGATCCCAGGACCCCAGGATCACAACCTGAGCCAAAGGCATATGCTCAACCACTGAGCCACCCAGGGATCCCCCTCATCACCTCCTTTAAAGCTCAACTTCCATACGATTACCCCTCTTTGCTGACAAGAAAGGTGAGGTCCAGGAGGCCTTATTCTTTGTCCCTAAGGTGGTGATAAGTAGTGGCAGGATTGGTTCTCCTTTGCCCTGAGGAAGCAGAAAGTGACTTCCCAGACCCTGCTCCCTAAAGCTTTCCAAGTGCACCATTCTGCACCCCTCCACGCTCTAATAAGTAGTCAAATCTGCAAAAGTGAGAAGCACGTGGGAGCCCAGGGGTTCTTCTCCCCGCCCCCCTTCCTTCTAAACGGAGGTATGATTACATATAACAAAGGCACAGACCTTCAGTGTATACAGTTCCACCAGGTTTTACCTGCAAGCCCCTGAGTTGAGCCCTGTGGCATGGTTTCTCCAGCTCTCAGGTGCTCTCCCCCTGGCCACGTGCCCTGGTCAGCCGCCTGGCCCGCAGGTGCCACCCACCTGCCCGGCCAGGTGAGGCTGGGCTGCCTGCGTGGGTGCACATTCCCTGGGCTGGTGCAGCGCTGGGTCACCGGGAGCCTACTGGGCCCGCCCCGGGGCGCCTGGCAGGTGCTTACCTGCACGGGGGACGGGGGCGGGGCTCCCAGGATGCGCTGGGCCCCGCCCCTCCCCACCTGCCAGGAACCATCACAGCGAGGTCATCCTCGCTCCAGCGAAGGGACTGAAGGGACCGCTGGCTTCCCAGGACCCCTTGCTGTGTCTGCAGGCTTGTTCCTTGCAGGGGCGGACCTGGATTTGGGGGATCCGCAGTTTATAAGATATGAGGAGCGCTCTTTGGGGAAAATAAAAGGACAAACACACAATTAGGCACAGGCTTTGGAAGGGGCACCCGAGACCAGCAGCCCTGCACTCCAGGCTTCGCTGACTTTAAGGTAGGTCCACCCTGTACGTACACCCCGAGCTGGGGATTTCACACTCAGGGCTACGGGATTTTAGAGGTTCCAGAACTTCTGGAATTTTATCTAGTGAGTTCACCCTGTGATCATCTTCCTAACACAGCCCAGCCCTGCAGCTGGGACGAGGAGCGGCAGCTGTGTTCACAGGCAGGAGGACCACTACTCAAAATTGTGCTTCTCTGCCCTGGAGCAGAAAGAACTACACCTGGAGGGAGCATTTCTTCCCGCTGGAAGAAGCCAGAGGAAGGCTGGCCCTGGGCAGCCAGCGAGCACTGGCCGCAACAGCAACCCTAAGCCTTCTTTTGGATCCTACTCAACCCTCTTCCTTTGTAGTTCTCCTCTGCTTGACACTGCCTGGGCTTTGCCAGCGACTTGATAGCAAAAGGGTCCTGCGTGGTCACCATCTGTCCCCAAGAGCTGTCACTAAGATCTGTGCAGCATCAGTTGGGGCCACCCAGCCTCAGGATCCCCACGCATCCTTAGGGCACCTCTGTGGTGCTATGCACCTGCTACGCTCTCTGTTCCAAGACATGAAAGACATAGGTGGATGGATGAGTAAACAGAGCAGCTGGATTATGCCAGGGAAAGGCATAAGATTCCTTTGGCACAGGGTAAACCTTGGGACCTGTATCCCAGCACCCCTTGATTCTTCCCCAGATTAAAAGTTTAGACAGGAAGTTGTGTAGGATCTCCTCTGATGTGGTCGCCACTCTTTGGCAAACTATGAGCCACAAGGTTAACCAGTCTTTCGGTAGCCTGCTTGTCTAGCAGGCAGGGGTATGAGTCTAGGGTGTTTGGAGTTGGTGAGGACCCAGCCCCGGGGTTTAAGGCCAGGCTTAACTCCCTTCAACTGAGGGCAAGCCATGACCTCCAAGAAATCCAGGATGTGGCAGGAAAGAGGGAAAAAGTAGGATAAGCCTGGGGAGGGATCATGCCAAGAGAGAGGAGACTCTTAGCCAAAGTCGAGTCCTGCTTTCTAGGTGTGCAGTAAGGGTGTTGGAGGTGTACCCCCTTCTCTGACCTTGCCTTTTAGCTTTAGGGTTGGATATGCACTTGGATCTGCGGTCAACACTGGTCACTACCACACACTGGAGGGTGTCCCATCAAAAAAGCTATCAGCTGTTTCAAGATTAGTACTTAGGTTTATATTTCCTCAAACTTTCTCTTGAACAGGAACCTACTCCCTTTCTGCTTTTTCTTTCTTTCTTTTTTTTAAATATTTATTTATTTATTTATTCATGAAAGAGAGAGAGGCAGAGACACAGGCAGAGGGAGAAGCAGGCTCGTCGCAGGGACCCCGATGCGGGACTCCATCCCAGATCCCGGGATCACACCCGGGGCCGAAGGCAGATGCTCAACCATTGAGCCACCCAGGCGTCCCTCCCTTTCTACTTTTTCGATGAAAATGCTGATCGAACTTACTATGTGAAATTATGGGGAATATAAAATTAGTCATTTACTAACAAGCCTGTAATATAGGTTAAAAGAAAAAAGATGGTTCATGAATTTATAGA